AAAAAAAAAAAAAAAGAAGAAGAAGAAGAAGAAAAGAAAAAAAAGTTTTTATCTCTGTTTTGGGTGCTAAAGTGAGCAGTTTGAAGCCAAATCTTTAGTATTTGGAAAAGGATTTTGGGATTTCAGTGTCCTGATTGAAATCTTTATAGTCATTCTCAATTTCTTTCAAGTCATGATCAACACAAATCCTGGGTTTTCTGCCTTCAAAATGTATTCTGGTGCTTACCAATTCTCACCATTTCTACAACTATCTCTTCTTCTACAGAACTAATGTGCAGATGCTTATGTGGGTCTCTGATTCTTCCTCAAAAGTCTAACATCCACATAACAACCAATATGGCCTTTAAACATAGAAGTCAATTCATTTGTCTCCTCTATTCTTAATCCTCCAGTCAGCTAAAGAAAAATGCCTAAATCCTTATACTAGACTCAACACCATTCCTATACCCCTTCTTCTTCTCTTTCTCTCTCTTTCCTTACCCCTCTCCGGCCCTCTGTTCCAGCCAGGTTAGCCTTCTTGCTGTTCCTCTAATATGCTGTATGTAGCCAGGACTTTTCCCTTGCTTTGCCAGCCCCCTGGAATACTTTCCTCCAAATATTGCCATGGCTTATTCTCTTCCTGTATTGGTCAGCTTCATGTTACTATGACACCCAGGCTATTTAGGAAATAACAAAGAGATTTATTTTGCTTCTGGAGATTCAAGGCCAAGAATCAGTGACTCCATTGACTTAGGCCTCTGATGAGGGTGACACATCATGGAAGGACCTTCTTTAAGGCTTTACCTTCTAAAAGTCCACAGTCCTTCTTGATAGCATCACCTGGGGACCAAGCCTCTAACATGGGCCTCTGGAACACTACCCATATTCAAACCATAGCTCTCCCTCTCTTCATTCAGACCTAGACCCAAATGCCACCTCATTAAAGAACCTCCCTATTTTTTTTTCAACAGAAATGTTCCCTCCCACCCTGACATTCCATATTCCCCTTGTTTCACTTTATTTTTTTCCTCCACAGCACTTTTCATGATTTTTCAGAAGTTTATTTTGTCTTTGCCCACTAGATTGTAAGCTCCTTTCAGGCAAGGACTTTGCTTGTCTTGGTCACTCCAGTGCCTGGAAAAGTGCTCAGACAACACACAGCAGGAGTTTGATAAAGAGCCATTAAATAAATGAGAGAATGAGCAAAATCTTTTTTTAATATTTATTTTTTAGGTATAGGTTGACACAACACAATGCTTTTATTTTTATATGGTGCTGAGGATTGAACCCGGGTCCCGCTTGTGCTAGGCTAGCACTCCACCGCTGAGCCACAAACCCAGCCAGCGAAATCTTAATTTTACTATTTCATTCTAATCTTTTATTTCTTGATTGCCCAATAACTTTGAAGCAGTGTATAAAAATATAGTGGACTAGGGAGAACTATGGTTTGAAGCCCCTGTTTTTGCCTAGCATGCATGTGGCCGTGGGTTCAATCCCCAGCACCACAAATTTATACATGGCACACCAGTTTAAAAAAGAAAAAAAAAATGAAGAGGTCAAGGGAGAGAACAAATAAACCTTCTTAAGTGCTTTCATATTCCTCAGTGGAAGGTGATGTTGATGACAGTAAAACATGGCTGTCAGTGGGATGTTCTATGCTCTATAACCAATTAGAATAATTTAGTAACCCCCACCCTGCCTTCACAGATGCCAGTGGATGTGTGAGATTTTTCTGTAGGAAAATAGAGGCCTCTGAGCTGGGGATAAACGTTTTAAATCACCCCCCTTCTTTTTTCCTATTTTAGAGCTTCCAGGGCTGCACATAGATACTTGCTTCCTTGGAAGAATAGCATTAACTGGCACTGGTAGAGAGGCTTCCCAGCCAATGATGTTAGAGACTTTTCTTCATGGAAAGGTACTCTGGGTCTTGCACCTTGGAGTTGTGAGGCTGTTGTGACCAAACTGGGAAGACAGTGTTCTATTCTTCAGTCTTGATGGGTAATGATACTTCCTGTTTTCAGTGCTGATTGTGTGCAGGTGTATAAGACAAACCTCCTATTCCAGATCATAGCTGGTGCTTTCCCCAGGGATTCTGGACAATGATAACACTTGGTTGTTCTCTTCCCTTGTCCCAGTCACATGCACCTACATCATGGTTGAGGAGTCTCATTGGGACCCTTCCCTTCTTAAAGGCCTGGCCTAGGTACCTCAGAAGGTTGGAAGGAGTCATTCCTAAGCATCCTGTGGAAGGGAGAGCAGAACATCTGATGCAGACCACTTGTTTCTTTTGCTCTAAGAGATGCAAAGCTAATAGAGAATTACAATTCTAAGACAGACAACAGAGCAGACCCTGGGTTGGGTCATTTTAGAGATATAGCTTTTTCCTTAGAGTTTTTATTTATTTTTAAATATTATTTATTTTTAGTTTTCCAGCAGACACAACATCTTTGTTTGTATGTGGTGCTGAGGATCGAACCTGGGCCTCACGCATGCCAGGCGATGCGCTATCGCTTGAGCCACATCCCCAGCCCCTTCCTTAGAGTTTTTAGCAGAAGTGATTCTGTTCTCAGCTCTGATAACTTCTGAAGCTTTCCTTGGAGGACTCCGTCTCTACTCTGGGAGCAATTAGAAGGCATCCAATATTCCAAAACCTTCTTTAATGTAGCTTTTTTATCTGATGGAGGGCATCTTGCCCATGGTTGGGCTTAGTGGTGCCTGATGAGGATCCAGCATATGAATCTGTGGATGCAAGTCACCAAGACAACTTCTGAAGAGTGAAAACACTCCCACAAGGGGAACACCCTGTTAGTGGCCTTGTTCTGACCCTCTGCATGTATTCACCTTCTCACTGTCTCTAACACTACAAAATACTATTTTTCCTGAGCCTAGTGGAGGAAAACGTCAAGTGTTAACATGGGATAACCTGCTGAGTTGGGGAAACACACAGCTGTAGTATTGCAGGACCTACCTCTTGTAATCACCCCCATTCTGAAATTTAAAACAAAAGTTGCTACTGGCCAGTACTGTTAGTTGTCAGACAACAGACAAACACATGGCAGCCAGAAAAATCCCCACTGAGTTTGGGCGGCTGATTTCTCTGGCAGCAAATGAAAGCTTTAGCGATTGCCCCTGAGGACTGGCTGAGCATTGGAGCCCTCTCTCTGTGGGCGCCCCTTCCCCCACATTCTGGGCTGTAGTGGGTGTAAATGTGTGCACCGTGGGGTGCAGGCACCCTCGTTCATAATTTTAGGCAGCTGCACACCCGACTCAGGGACACCAGACCAGCATAATTCATCCCACACCTCACAGCCAGGGTGACTCCAGCCTCAATAGACAACAATTTGAAGGCATTGTTTACAAATCAATTTCCCCCTCTAAATAGGCTGTTACAAGAGTGGACCCTTCTGCTTGCCCAGCCTAGGCCCACCTGTCACTGGGACTTCCTAACCAGTGGTCACACTGTATTGATCTTTTTAATCCCCTCTCTTTGAAACATGGAGCCAGCTGATGTGGAGTTCCTCAAAAGAAAGACTCTCCCGCAGCCCCTACCTCTACAGGTAGCTGCATATAGGGGCTAATTCCCACTAAAAAGTCTTAATTGGCTTATGGGGCGCCTGAAAGATCTCCCTTGTGTTTACATCGTGAAAGGAAATGATAGATCCCAAACACCTTAGTCTGTCTTTATCTGGTTCTTGGTGAAAAATCAGGTGCATTTATTTTTTAATTGTTTTTGACACAGCAGTGGAGGGTTTGGAGGTCGGTGGGGATAGTGTTTCACTTTAGTGATTGAGCCACCAGCAGAAGGGAAGAAAAGCCCCCAAAGACACTAACATTAGGCAAGAAACTTGGTGACTTATTTTTCACTCAGTTTTTATTTACACGAAGCATCTGCAGTACAAAAATGTAAACTTCAATAGCTCATAATAATAGAATAAACTCTTTATGTACAAAAATACATTTTCATATGAATGAAGCATCTTGAATAAATTAAAGTACCCTCCAGCCCCGTGCCTGAATAGCTACGCAAGCGCTGGGGTTCTTCCTAGAGCGAGCCGGCAGTGGTGGGGGTCGGGATCCATAATGCATGAAGCCCACTCCTTGTGTCTCCTTTTTAAGCCTTTTCATTGTATTGTCAGCCGGCTCAAACCGAATTTTCATGCTCGTTTTTCTTCATTAGAGTTCTACAAATTGTAAAATTGACTTTTCACCTCGTCTTCAGGGGCTCATCTGTCTCTTTTCCAAATCACACTGAAGTGGTGGCTGGGGTCAGTTCTGAGCCAGCCACAAAGGAGGTTTTGTGGAGTTCAGAAAGTGCAAAAGGAAAGGCCGTCTGGGGGCGGGCAGGAGGGGCCCAGGGCTGAGAGCTGGAGAAACAGACTAAGGGGCAGCCATGGCAAGGGTGCAGCGACCTAACAAGCGGCTCAGGTATTCCCTACCCTTTTAAAGCTCCCGCTTCCTCCCTCTGCCTGGAGTGGGGGGCTCCCGAAGCCACAGCTGAGTCCTCGTGTATTGCCCATTAGCTTGGGGAGAAGACGGTAACGGGGTCTAAAAAGAGCCTAGTGGTAAGGAATGAAACACGGCGTCGTGTGGAGCAAGTCTTTGGGCAGGCCAGGGAAGGAGAAAAGGGGATCGCCGGGGCCATATGCGAAATCTTCGGAAGCCGCGGGGCTACTGGGGTCAGAGAGTGGTGAGGTGGCGGCGGCGCACGGGGAGGCCGCGGTACCGGAGCCCCAGGACTCGGCATCGCTGGCTGGGCTCGGGGGTCCGGGCAGGCAGGGGGCACATTGAGGAGGTAGGAGGCGCTCCCGGGCAGCGCCCCCGGGCAGTCCTTGATCGGCCAGGCGCAGTGTCTCGGCCAGAGCCCAGATGTAGTTGTAGGCGAAGCGCAGCGTCTCGATCTTTGTGAGCTTGGTGTCATCAGGGAAGGAGGGCAGCACACTACGCAGCGCGTCCAGCGCCGCGTTCAAATTGTGCATGCGGTTGCGCTCGCGATCATTGGCCTTGACGCGCCGGCTCCTGCGTAGTGAATGTAGCAGCGCCTCGGAGCGCACTCGCCCACGGCCCCTGCGCCGCCGCCGCTCCTGCTCCTCGTCCTGCGCCCCAGGAACGTCTGACGCCCCAGAGATCCCAGGTGCGCCCCTGCGGGCCGGCGCGGACGGCCCCGAGGTGGAGACAGGCAATTGGAGCCTGACACAGTCCTCCTCGTCGGTGAGGAAGCCGGACAGGTCGCTGCTGCTGTTGTTGCTGGCGCAATCGAGGTCGGAGAGGCAGGTCTCCAGCGGGGCTGGCATCTTTGCGCTGTGCAGGACTGACAGATGGACAGAAGGACGTTTAAAGGACAGGAGCCCGGGCTGAGGGCAGGGCCGCTGGGGGGCACTTACGTTTCGAACGGCCCGGGCTTACTTTGTGCCCGTTGCGGGCGCGAGGGCCTGGAAGGGCGCAAGGGCGCAAAGGAAACTTGGCTTTGCCTTCTCGCCTCGCCTGCAGGAGCCACGCGCCGGGCTGGTCTCCCGAGTGATGTCGCCGGCGATCAGATCAGCTCGTGTGAGCACCGAGTGTGGCACACGACTGGCCTCAGGACCCCTTAAGTACCCGGCGCAACAATGGGCGCCCCCCTCCCTTGCCACCTCCGCCCCCGAGGCAGCCCCGGTGAATGGAGCGAGGCGGCAGGTCAGCCCCGTGCGGCGCCAGGGTATTTGCATAATTTATGCTCGCGGGAGGCCGCCCCTCCCCCCTCCTGGAGCGTGCCCGTAATTACCGCCGGCCAATCGGTGGCCTTGCCTGGCCCCGGAGCCAGCTCCTGCTAAACAGGCCCGGGCGTCTCCAGGCAGTGAAACCCGGGCGGGGGCGGCGGGCGATTAGCGGAGCAGGCACGCTCCTCCAGGGGCGGGCCTGCGCCCCTCGCTGGGGTGGGATGGGGAGGCGGGGCGCGGGCAGGAAAGTGTGAGCTGCTCTATGAGCTGTGGAAACCTGGAGCCCGCTGGGAGTCTGGGTTCCGTTCTCACTCCGGCTGCTGAGTGGCCGCCTTGGCTCTGGGCTAGTGATTTCACCTCTGAGTGAAATTCCTCATCTGTAAAATGGGACAGAGGTCTACCTGTGGAAAATGACATAAGATGATGATCGTGAGTCATTTGGCAGGGAGTTTTTGTAACAGAGTCCTGATTGCGATATGCAATTGAGAACCGGTGAAAAACCCATGTCCAAATAGACTGGAGATTGGCCAGGTGACAGTCCTGGAGCCCGGAGTGGAAATAGGCGATCCTGCTTCTTCCAAGGTTGATAAAGAAACAGGGGAAGAAATCTATTTGCCTTCATCTAGTAGGTGGGAGGGGAGAGGAGTGAGGAACCCAAGCCAGGCTGGAGTGAATCTTGACCTCACCAATCTTTTCTCCCTCTACTTTAAACTGCCAAACACCCATAAAGTAGCAAAGGTGCTAATCGCCTCCCCTAAGGTACCCCTGAGAACTTGCTTCCCCTATCTCCAGATAATTCTTTTGCGTACAGCCTGTGTGGTGAATCCCAGTGCCAGCCAAGGGGAAACTTCTTCGCTGGACCATAGAAAGCAGGACTACAAACAAACAATGGAATTCCTCTCCCTCAGTCTCTTCTACCTTTCCAGCAGAAACTCACCTATTCCAGCAGAAAGTTTTCACTTTTGCAGATCAGGAGTCACTTTAGCTACTAGAGAGCAAGAGTCTCAGACACACCCCAGCTTTTACTGGGCAGGAAATAGTTAATAAGGGACAACCCTGGATTATAGGGCAGGGGTATTAAAAAACAAAATGAGCAAAAAGTTCCAGCCCCCTCCCCATGATATCTGAGTGGAGGCCTCAGGCCTGATGCCTGGCCTGCTGCCCTCAGAGGGGACTCTGCTTGGAGCATCAGTCGCTTTGTGGAGAGATGCTCTCTGGAGGTAGTGTATCCCTCTGCAGACTAGGGACTAGCACTTGCCTTCTGGTTCAGGGGATACCGCTGAACCCTCCCCTTTCCCCTGCCACACCCCACTTGTGCACTGCCCTCCCCCCACCAGCTGGCAGAAAGCTGGGAAACATATATAAAGATTTGAAGTTTGTTAGAAGTCAACAGAAAGTGGCTTCCACTAGCTTATTCGTGAGAAGGCAACTGTTGGACAGATGCTGGGGCACCTCAGGAGACCCAGTACTCACTCTCTCTATCCTTTTTCTCTCCCTGGGTTAGCTTCCACTTGGCCCCTTTACTCTCCCACTTGCCTGACCTTCTGATACTCCTGGGCCCTGTATTTTTTTTTTATTATTCATGTTGCCATTAAAAAAATACCACAAAGTGGGTGGCTTAAAAGTTTAGTCTCTCACAGTTCAGAGAAGACCAGAAGTCTGAAATTAAGGTGTCAGTCAGCAGGGTTGGCTTCTTTTTGGAGACTCAGGGAAAAAACTGTTTCATATCTCTTTCCTAGCTGCTGGTGGCTCCTGGCAATTGTTGCTTCATTGGTTAGTAACTCCAGTTTCTGTTTTCAGTGTTTACATGGCTTTCCCCTTTGTGTCTCATGTTTTTGGCTGTTTCTTAAGGAGTCTTATTGGATTTAGGGCCCAGCCGAATCCAGAATGATTTGCAAGGACCCATATTCTAAATAAGGTCACATTCTCAGGTTTTGGGTAGACATGTCTTTTGGTGGACCACTGTTCAATAAACTGTAAACCCCCTTTCCAGATTCCTGGAGTACAGAATTGGTTTGGCCAGGGTCACTGGGATAGAATTTTGTCAGTTTTTGGGCTATCTTTTGAAGAGCCTTTCTTCTGAAGAGAAAAAGCTGGTTTCTTCATCAGTGTGTTGACACCAGAGAGGTCTTCTCAGAGAAGAAAGAAAAACCACTTCTCTGTTGCCCCTGGAGCCTTAAGTCAGATCTCTAGGACTGCTTAGAACAGGTGTGCGCCTTCGGTCCCAGAGTCAGTAAAAAGGGCATCTGGCAGAGAGGACAAGTGGGAGCTAAAATTCAACCTGTTTGCCACCCACCATCCCATGTATCCTAAAGTGAGCTACACCTGTCCCCAAAGGGCACATTGCAAATGTACACAAAGGCCTCTTTTGAGCTAGTAGTGGATCTGTGCTTTATCTTGTCATTGCTTGAAACTTAGTGACCTGTCTAGGCAGAGATCTTAGCCTTGCCCTGCCTGCCCCTGGCTCCTTCCTGGATGGCAGTGCTTTGATAAGTGCATAACGGGGCCCCTTCTGTAAGAGATGCACTGAGGGTAGAGCTGGACCTGAGACTGGCAGATGAGAATGAGGGGGACAGCTTTAAGCCAGGCCCTCTAGGTGGATATGTGTCCTTGCTGAAGGAGATCAAAGTTTCTTCTGCCCCCTAAATTCTTCTAAACTCATGAGCACATCTATGCAAACTCCCACATAGGATGTAATATGGTCATGTAATAAATCTAACCACAGTAGGCGCCAAGGTGACAAGTGTTGCACCAGGTGTTCTACTTCCTGACCTTGTGAGATATCCAGCTGTTGATCTGCTGGGGAGCAGGAGCAGGTAGGTAGGGCAGAAATCCAGAGGACTAAGAATAAGCCAGAGTTTCTCATACTGTGTTCAAATGGAGTGGTAGTGACGGTGGTGGAGGGAGTGTGTGTGTGTGTGTGTGTGTGTGTGTGTGTGTGTGAGAGAGAGAGAGAGAGAGAGAGAGAGAGAGAGA